GTTTTCCAATGTATTGGTACTTGAATAAAATTATACATGTATTTTACCTTTCATGGTATCTCAATTTTTGTTCACGTCTACACGACTTTATCTTGCCCGTAAAAGAGGCCGTTACCCCGCAAAAAAACCAAAAACATGTACCTACTCGTACATGTAAGCTGGCTGTGTTTCTCAACGCAATTGTATAGCCGGTGGTAACGCGGACGTGCAAGCTTTACTTTTTTTACATGTACATGTATGAGCGCGCACAGATTTTTATTCATTGCTAATAATAATAATAGTTACAGTTCGCATGTCACTCATGGAAGGATCCATGGGCTTAACGCATCTGTCAACGAAATCCAGGCAGAAGAGCCGACAAAAGGCATCTCATTATTGTTAGAACGTATCGCAGTAAGAACAACTACGCAAGCGCAGCACATTTTCCACAAGCATCAGCCATTCTTTCTTGTCTAGAGCCAGTTCAAACCAGTCAGAAATATCAATATTGGCGTGCTTTAGATCACTTTTAATATTGTCAATCCATCTGAGATGGGGTCGGCCACGTGGGCGCTTGATGTCCCGGGTATTAATTGCCATCTCCAGTGCTTGGTAGGACGCTGAGTTACGTCCTTCGCGAACAACATGGCCCAGCCAGAGCAGCCGACGTCTGCGACAGGTAGTGCTGACTGGGCCTTGTCGCGTTGAGGCGTACACCTTGGCATTCGACATGTGGTGAGGGTACACCACACCAAGCAGGTACCGCAATTTTCTGCGGTGCCATGCGTCCAGCCGATTACTGAGTTGCTGTGTCAGGGCCCACAGTCCGCAGTTATACAACAGGATAGGCAAAATGAGGGCAGAGAACATACAAAGTCTGGAGCTCAGTTTATGACGCTTCCACGAAATGGAGCCGAACGCTCTATTCGCAGCACCTATTCTTGCCTGAATATCCTCTGCGGACCCCAACAAAGAGCCAAGCAGCTTGACAGATCGCCAAGAGGAGTCGGCTTTAGTTACTGTAATATAATTATTGTGTTTTCTGAATATTTAACATTAGGTTATCTTCTTTGAATTTTTCACTTGATTTCTCCACAATCTCCTCGACTTCTCGCCTCTCCGTGTCATGGATTGTTGTGTCGTCTGCATATTGGGTGGTTGGTGCTGGTAAAGATAAGTGCGATAGTATAGGATCAAGGTGGCGCATGGCTCCCTCAGCATACACATTGTACATGATGGGAGACAGCGGATCCCCCTGCACTACTCCGATATTTGTAGCAAACGCTTCGCCTAAATGAGAACTGAGTTTCACTCTCACCGTCGTGTCCGAGATCAGAGTGGCAACGACATCAGTGGCAGCTCCAGAGTCTGAAAATCGCGCCAACGCCTTCTCACGGACAATGGTATCAAATGCTCCGCTGAAGTCTAATAGTGCGGCAGAGTATTTCCAGTCACCGAGTAGTGCACGTTCGCACATGACACGCGTATAGAAAACTCCGTCAGCCGTGGAGCGTCCGGGTGTAAAGCCTGCCTGACTTTCACGTACATATGAGGTGGTAGATTGTTGTGAACGCATGGTGATGATGCGGGTCAGCACCTTGCGAACAACTGATAGCAGCATGACCGGTCTGTAACTTTTCGGTGCACCCATAGGTTTTCCTCGTTTGTATACTGGCACCAGAAGGCCACATCTAAGGTCAGGTGGGCAATAGTGGAGTTCCTTTTAAAATGGAGTTGAATAGGGTAGTCAGCCATGGAGTAATGACAGTCGAAGCCGTACGTAGCAGTGCCGCACTGATCCCATCACATCCAACAGCGCCTCCGATTTTCTGGTGCATGATGGCCTTCCTAATCTCTTCAGAGGTAAATGGTTCGTCTTTCGCCTTACTGTTAGGCTGTGCCGGGAAAAGCGTTGGCTGGTCGCTCCGGTAAAACACTGATGCGAAATACTTGCTGAATTCCTCCAAATTCCAATTTACATTTGTGACATTTTCACCACTATCATTTGCGAGTCGTACTGGGGAAGGTTTGTCAGGATTTCGAAGTGCTTTTAGCTGTTTGATGGCATTGAAGTACGATCTCATTGCTAGATGACGTCTATTTTGTCCAGACTCCATTTGTCTCATACCGGTCACCATGGTCACGGGTATCACTCCCTCCTTGCGGTCCTTGGCGGAGTGTCTGCGAGCGAGACGACCTACCGGTACATGTCATGTGTACATAATTGTACATGGTATTATCAAGAGTACATACCCCCCCCCCCCCATACTCTTGGTAATACTGTAATTTCACAAATTTTCGGTGTACTTTTATTTTCGGTACTTTCGGTGCGTCTGTTTCATACATGTACCTAAAATTTCAATACACCGAACAAACACTAACACACATAATCCAATAGGGAACTGCTTGTCTGTACCGAAAATTTCTGTTCACCTAACCAGTTACCTAGCCTGTTGCCCTCATACCGAAAATATTGAGCACCAAAAATTTCTGAAATTAGAGTAACCCAATACTAGTTCAAAACTACATGTATGTAGTATTAGATAATAATTATTATTATTGTACATGTACGTGCCCAGTCATGTATCTTTCTCAGCAGGGACTCAGGCCAGTCAGGGAGTTACACAGTAGTAAAGAGTATTTTTACGACTCCCTAGGCCTAGGCTAGGCCTGCTTCTCAGCCACACGTGACAGTGTGCTTTGTCTCGGAGTCTACGGTACCACATTCCTGGAATTCCACCATCATTCGTTTCCCAGCATCTCTGCTGGTTTGGTAGTGCCCTAGTGGTTTCGATTGTGAAAATGAAAGCCATCAGGTTCAGCCTTGTCAGTTTCCCTGTGCTGCGCTGATGAGTCCCCAAAGGACGAAACAGTTCTGTCCCCAGATTGAGTAAAGGCAAAATACAATCGTTTAGTTCAACAAACAGCAATTAAAATATGTGTTGGACGATCTCCGAACAGCTAGCTGGCTCACCCTCGCTACACGTCTCTAGCCTACTCCTCATCGGAGCTCAGACTGAATGGCAGAACCGCTCGAAGACATCAACGTTGGAGTACATGACTATTGTAGTACTCCACTTGTGGTAGAACTGCGAGAAATGCAGCGCTTGCACTACACTACTGTACTGTCAGTATCATGCCTGATGGAAAAGTTACTTGAGGAGAAAAGAGCACAGACCCGGTGAGAAGTGCTCAAATGAAACCGATATCGATTTCACCTTCCCCTGGGAGACGAGTATTGGCAACGCTACCGGTAGATCTTACAGTCATGGTCTGAGCCCGCGTGCCCTGGTAGTGGTAACAGACTAGCCGCGTTAGGTGCTAGAGTAGTAGAGTAGAGGGGAGCAGAAAAGACGGTTCCAGCGAGACTTCACCGAGTTCACGCCATGCAGTGTTGACCGCGTAACGTTACCGCCAACGTCCAGGAATCCTACCCGTATCGTCCTCAACTTCTGTACTACTCAGTAGACAGTAGATCTGCTTGTAGCTGATACATAGACTAGTCGGTAGACGATCTAGTAGTACCGTAGTGATAGTAAGAGCCTCTCCAAACCAGTTTGTCTGCGTTCTCCGTCCTGAAACTTAGTTGCTCGTCTGAGCTGGTACATTTTCGTTGCACATTATCTAGCAAGAGGCAAGGAAGACTGGGAGGAAAGACGAAAGCATGCCGCGCACTGTACTGTCGTCTTCTTGCAGAGCCTACTGTGGGCTCTGGAGTCTGGTTGCCCTTGCCCTTGCCAGGCGTGTGTCTCTGTTGAAGTCGCACTCCTACGCAGCCGACCCACTACTACTGACTGTAGCACAGAAGTAAGTAAAGACATAAGTGGTTGCGACTCCTGGTATATTTCCATAAAGAACCTCAGAATCCTCAGAACCCTGATACGAGTATGTCTGGCCCCACTCCCTGGTCACGCCACTACAGAGTACAGCACTACATGCCGGTACACGTCGTCGTCGTCATCGTCGTTTTGGTTGGCTGGCTTTGGCGGAAATTATCTGCATGTACCGGTAGTACCGTAGTCCTGACGTGATATTCAATTCTTCTGTCCGAGATACAGAGACAAAAAGCGCCCCCCCCCCCCCAGGAGAATCCATAAATTATACAGATAGTAGTGGAAAGCTACAGAGACCTGGAACATGACCTGGGAAATTGACTCGCAACAGTACGCTAATTGCTGTCGTAATTTTATCTTCTGCCTGCAGCTGCTGTGTTGCTACCAACTGTAGTTACCAGTACTAAGGTTGTGCAGTCTATTTCAAGGCACCCACCACCACTAATCACTATTCCGAACATGTACTTCATCCATTCCGCTTCCGTGTCAGCGCATTCAGCGTTGACCGAAGTAAAGAAGGCGACAGATCAGACAGCATACGAGTTGTAGCCTGTTTCACTGCATGCAGCCTACTTCTAAGCGGACTACTAGTACTCAGACTAGTCGTGTAGTGCGAAAAAGGTGAGGTGTAAAAATACCGACCGTTTCTTTCTCGTGACAAAGGCTGTTGTACATACATGTACAGTCGACTACCCGTCATAACGATATTTACGTCAGACTGAGAAATATCGTTATAACGGGTAATATTGTTACACAGTGAAACCTGTCTAAGACGACCGCTCAAGGGACAAGGGACCTTCAAAACGTGGTCTCTGTTACCAGGTGGTCTCCTTATCCAGGGTCGTTTGACTGGAAATAGCATCCCTTGGTCCTGGCTGCAGTGGTCTTCTGGGACAGGTGGTCGCCTTATCCGAGTGATCGCCTTGACAGGT